ACAACTCCAAAACCCAGGAGTGCCTGCCACACGGCGTGAGACCTGCTGCCGTCCCGGCGATCAGTGCTCACAGCAGCTGTGGAAGGAGGCTCCGGTGCCGGGGGGCTGCAAGAGCCTTTTGCTGTGATTGTGCTTTACAAAACCCTTCCCCAGGGGATGCTGGGTGGTGCTTGATGTTGGAGCTGTACTCGACAGCATGGGTTGGTAGGACAAGCTTTTCTTCTTTCTTTCTAAACTCTCTTACAGTAAGTTAAAAATATTTTTTAATAAATTCTTTCTATCTAAGTACTGCTGTGAGAACTGTGGTTGGCAGAGGGGATGGTTTGTGCTACCAGTCTTGTGCCCTGAAACAGTTTGAGTGCCTAAGAGGTCAGAAAGGTTTGGTTTTGTTTGGGGTTGTATCTTTTTTTGTGTGTGTGTGTGTTTTTTGTGTTGTTTGTTTTTTTTTGTTTTTTTTTTTTGCAGCCCAGTTGTAAGGGCATTGCTTTTGTTAGCAGACCCTTCCTGTTATTCGCAGCCTTTTTTCCCCCCTCCTCTCCTTCCTTTGTGCTTACAGTTTCAGCTTTTAAAGTTTTGGCTTTTCCCTGTGAGGATGTTGAGACCCTTCTGTCCATAAGAGCAGACCTGGGTTGGGGTGGAGAGGGCTCTGGTGCTCCAGCCCTTGCACGCAGGTGCTGCATGGGGGCTTAGGTGAGGCTGGTATCAGGATAAAAATTCAGCAGAGATAATTACAGCAGACACCAAGCTCAGGTTGTGTCCAGGAGATTTGTGTTGTGCTGGTGGAGCCCTTACACCAGCAGCTTGGTCCCAGCCATGATTCGGTGGCTCCTCACCTCGTTCTCCTTTGCCGTGAGCTGGGATGTCTGTTCCTGCATCTCATCCTGCAGACTTTCTTCTCCCTCCTCCTCTTTGGGGTGCTCTAACAGGGAGTTTTGTTTTTCCTCGGCAGCAGTGAGAGGTGGGGTCTGCGTGGTGAGAACCTGGTCTAGAAAACAGTCAGGCTTCTGATGAGAAACAGGTCCAGGCTTTCAGTGTGCTTTAATCTTGTTCACTCAGCACAGTTTAAAGATAATGTTTGCACGCTACGTGCACAGAAGAGGACACAGGAGCTGAGTTAGTTATGGACCTGCCTACTACCAGTTACCATCTTTAGAGGAATATTTATAGTTAGTTGTCAGAAATGGAAGGGAGGGAGATCTGAAATGCCTTTTATTATTTTTTTTTCCAAGTACAGCTATAGTTGCAATTATAAACTGGAATGTATTTTGATTGGGGAAAAAATGGCGTAGCCATTGAAGTAGAATTTGCAATGAAATACATTTATTTTTTTTAAGTGTTTGCCATCATAAATACATGCTAATATTAACTAGCAAAATATAATAACCCACTTTGTGCAGCTTTAAAATAGTCCTTTATTCTAAACCAATGTAGACTTCTAGAGCCCGGTCTAATGTTCCTGTGGCCAGTGAGAGCAGCACTAAGTGGGAGTTAAAGTTTGCTGACCTTTCCTTTGCACCGTCGCCTCCTGGGTCTCCCATTTGTTGGTCTGGTTCTGTATCAAGTCTGGGAACACAAGAAGTCACTGCTGTTGTCCCCAGTGCTAACGCAGGTCTCTTACTTTGCAAGTCTGGGTGTTACTTACTATGCAAGTGGCTGATTGTCGCCTCCAGCGTTACCTTCTGACTTTGCTCTTTTTGCAGTTTATCTGAAATAATTATAAGAAAACCAAGGCTGATGTCAATCTCTGTGTATCTTTATGCAAGGATGGCAACTTTCTCCACCTATGTGAAGTGGATTGCCACCTATTTACTCTTCCTTAATTGTGTTTTAAAATAGCCATGTGAAGTATGTGTGAGTTGCCCTGCCTCTGTCTGAATTGGTGCTTTAAGACACTATTAGCACGTATTTATACACTGGTGACATCCACCACCAGCAGCACCTCAGACAGCAATGGGTGCTGCCTGGCCACCCGAGCAGGCTTGCACTGCTGTGTTTGATGGGTCTGACAAAGATGCAAGAGTCCTTGTCAAAGCTGAGGACTTGGCTTTGATTATTTTTTTTTTTCAAGTCTCCTCTTCCATCCTTTCTCCTAGAAAAGTCACTTGACTTCACTGAAGTCCTTTCATCTAGTTGGAAGCGTCTTTCAGAGCCCTTTGGAAACCAGAGGCTTTCTCGTCCAGCTGATATGTGCAACATGTGCAACACACCCAGAGGATTTTAAGTGTATTTTCCTTCCATTCTCTGTTCATTCGGAGGACAGCCCCCCACCCCCTGCAGACGGTACCTTCGATGGCACTGATGTGCTCTGCCTTCAGGTCGTTGTCCTCGCGCAGGGCGCTGGCTCGCCGGTGCAGCGCAGCGTGCTCGCTCTGCAGGGTGTGCAGGGACTGCTGCAGCCGCTCCTTCTGCGCCTCTGCATGCTGGGGGCAAGAAAAGCCCCAGCATCAGCCCAGTGCTGGGCAGCCCACAAGCACACGGCATCGCCAGCTTTCTGGCAGTGAAAGGCAGCCCAGGGCTGAGGCTGTGCTGCATTGGACGGGATTTATTTTATTATACAGTGATCTCAACCTGGGGGGCTTCTCTGCTTGCATGTGGGAAAGCGTGGGTGCTGTTCCAAGGGGAACTGACGTACCTGCAGTTCGCTTTGCAAAGCGTGGAAGCTGGTCTGGAGCTCGGTGTGCGCCGTGGTCATCTTGGTCATTTCAGCTTTGAGCGTGGTGTAGTGCTCTTTCCAGAAGGCAAGGTCCTCCCGCGTCGCTGCCAGGCTTCTCTGGGGAGGAGAGCAAGGACCCACGGGTGGGCTGGGACCCGCCGCCCGGCAGGACCATGCCAGGCTGCCCTGCATGGCTCACAAACGAGCACAGGTTGCCCCTATGCTGCTTTGGACTTTGCTCAGTAGCTAAAAAAATGTTATTTTTGCACCTTTGTTACTAATGGTAAGCTAGGCATCACCTTTCCCTGAAATGTGGGGGCTCTTTGTCCCAGTCAGAGGAGATTAAAGCAAAGCTAGGTGTAAAACATGCTGCTTACCTGTGAGTTTTGCAGCTGTTGCTCTGTTTGGAGTTTATCTTCCAGCATCTTCTGAAGAGCCTCTTTTGCCTTCTGCTCATAGGTCTGCTTCTGGTCCTCCATCTCTATCAGGATCTTCTTCACACACTCCTTTGAGTAACTCTTTAAAGGAAAAATTAAAGTGCTTGAAGGGTCTTATCTGGCATTTTCCTGATCTTGCTAAGCCTGAATATTAGCAAATAATAAATAGTGTGAAAATGCTGCTGCTAATCTGCTGTGAAGCATTGCTTCAGCGAAGAGGAAAAATCGTTTTCAGATCCATATCTGATCAGATTGCTCTAGAAACTGAGACCCCTCCTAATGACGTGGTTCTGTATTTTGTTTTCATGCCTTTCTTCACCCCTGTTTGTTTCTCAGACATTACCTGGGTGCAGGCCTGCAGCTGATTTTCCAGTGCTCTTAGTTTACACTTCAGTTTATCTTCGTTCAGCTGACCCTGGGGAAAAAAAACAATTGAACTGATGTGTGGAATCATGAACCATACAATATGCCCCAATGTTGTGTTAGCTTGTGTTTCCATCCACTTCTCCCTGCATCTGTATTATTGTGGCTGAATTTGATCAAAGTCTTTTCAATGCTCAGAGTTCCAATAAGCCATCCACAATCTCGGAATAAGTGGGATACGGGGGAAGCAAGACTTTTGGGGCAGCTCCGTGGAGTGCAGGTACTTGCAGTGAGATGGGAGGTTCAGAGCAAGGAGATTCGTCCCTGCCTGGAGCTCTGGCTGGTGCTGAGGTCTTCTCTTGCTGGTTCCCTTAGGAGATGGGCTGGGTCTGCATTGCAACATGCAACAGTTGGGCAGGGGGATGGAGGGCAACGCTGATGATTCATTTTCCTTATTGCGATCTCCTCTCGGTGTTAGTCAGGCTGTTTAGGTTCTGTGAAACCAGACCGCGTGCAATTCTAGATAAAATTTCTTGCAGAGTTCACGTAGGCAATTTTTCCCCTGCTGATACCGAGAATGCCTGCATCCTCCCTGCTTGCTGCTGTGTGAAGTCAAACCTCTGAAAACGCAACTCCTTGGTGTTACAGGAATAGCTGTGAGACCCGGGCAAAACCAGATTCTCTGGTGTCTTAGATGGGGGGGGATTTAAGGGGCAGACCTCTGGTAGGAAGGTCTAACCTAGAAGTAAAACCATGGCAGGGGGAAGGAACAGGATGATTTATCCCTCCAGTTTAACTGCACCCCATCCTCCTGTGGGGTATTTGCTTCTCCATCAACCCAGAGGCACCCGCGAACAGAAGCAGCACCTCAGAAATGACCCTGTGGCCATTTCAGGAGTTGCCCTTGAATGACCTGGCAGTGTGCAGTCCCATTTCTTTGAAACCCAAAATATCGGAAAGGATTAAAACCCCTCTGTAACAAGCATTTGGCATCTCGCCTGACCCTGGAAACGGGCAACCAACCCTCAGTTTCCACAGCACAGAGTGATGGTGTAGGACCCATCCGTGCCCCCCTTTTGCCAGCAGCTCCTGGAGGAGCCCCTTGCCCCCAGCCCCCCTCCCTCCTTCCAGGAGCTCCCAGGGGATCCCCCCAAGGCAGCAGCATCTTCCCAGTTTGCCCAGTTGGCTCCTGTGCCAGCGGCGAGTTAATGTTTAGCCTGATGAAAGGCTGGATGCGAGAGGCAGCAGCAAAGCCTCTCTTCTGCAGCAGAGATAGTGAGAAGCAAAGTGCACCCACCTGCTTCTAATCTGAGGTTTCGTGGCTACTTCCTGCAGAGTGTGTCAGGGTGTTTTTTCCTGCTCATGTTATATTTGAAGAAGCAAGTGAAGGCGGAAGTTTCTAACCGCAGTACGTCTAACACAAGGTTTTTTACACCATCTCACCCAATCACTTGCTTTTCTGCCCCAACAAAACTTTCAAACCGCTTTTTTTAATGGCACAATGAACTGTAAATTAATGCTTGATTTACTAATCTTATATAAAACACTTCATATGTTACATAAAGTGCATCACCTTAATTTTAGTCTAATTTTCGGTGCTCTTGCTTCTGCCCACAAGCCTGGTCCCACCCCGGCAGAACCTCCCCCCAGCAGGCATCACCTCCTCCGGCTCGCTGGTACCTGCCAGGATTTTTCGGACGCTTGCAGCAGCGTGGAGAAAAGCTCCTGCAAAATCACCATCTTCTGCTTGAGCAGCAGCTCGCGGTGCAGGGCCTCCTGTGAAGGGGAGAGGGGGTCAGTGGGGACCCCCAGAGCTGGGGGGGGACAGTGTGGAGACCCCTGGGGCTGGGGGGCACAGCCTAGGGACCCCCTCCAGCTTGGGGTTGGGGCTTGCCCTGCCTGGGGGGTTTCAGACAGGTCTTTGGGTCCGGTGGCTTGTCTGTAGGCTTTCCTGGCCACATTAAAATTGGGTATGTAACCTCTCTTTATTTAATAATAATAATTCTAAGAGTGGTGTTGTAAAGATCTGTGCTCTAGGTGGGGATGTGCAGCATCTGGTACCTACCTTCAGGTAGTTGGACAGCTGCAGCATTTCCTGAAAGGGAAAGCGCAAATGTTTATAAACTGAAACAATCCTGTTGTTTTTAAACATTTTATGAACTGGCTACAAAATCAAAATATTTTGAGATAACACTGGAGTTAACAGCCTGTGTCTGGGCGGAGGCAGGGAGCCTGCTGGGGTTGGTTTGTCTGGGTTTTCCGGGGAAGTGAAAATATTTCCAGCATTGGAGTTATGGCATCTTTGCCATGTCACGTATCAAATCAGGGCAGTGATTGAATGAGAACAGTAGATATCCATGGGTCAGAAGTGCTCTTCTCTGCTTTAATAGCGGTGTCATCATTTTTGAAACTTTAGAAATTTAGCACCAGTCAATGTCCTGGTGAGAAATGCTGGAAACTCATTTCTTTTGCAGGAGTTCAAGGCTAGGTTATCTGTCTCTTGCTTACCTTGTTTAAAACCGCTATTCCAGAACTAAAATAAAAAAAAAAACACATTACTGAGGTGAGGGCGATGTGGGGGGCTGCAGCAGTCCGTGGCTCTGGACCCCTGCTGCTCCCCCAGCAGAGTGAGGGTGTTTGTACAGTGAAAGCTTGGGCCAGGGTGGAACGTGTCTGTGCTCGGGTGTCCGAGGCTGCTGCCCTGAGGGTGTCCGAATTCACAGCCCGGGGATGGAGGAGAGGACAGGACTGGCTTACTCTGTCTGCTGGCTCGAGTCTTTCACTCCTGCGCTTGGATCTGGAAGGGTCTGGGTTCCTGTGAAAGCAAAGGGAAGGGATGTGACTGACCCCCCGCCCCACTCAGGCTGGTGTGGGGCTGTGGGAGAGCGAGCCCAGGGTAGAGGGATGCTACCAGCTCCCATCCCAAACCGCGGGATGGAGGGAAACACTGTGGCTGCTGCTGTGCTGGGAAACCCCAGCATCCCGCACCTACCTTGGGTGTTCACAGGGGCACCTCGCCTGGGGACGGCTGCTGTTGAAATTCCGAGGGGGACGCTGAGGCTGAGCGGAGAGTGCTCCGGGGGGAACACAAGGCTGCTCTGTAGGTGCTGGAACGAGAGGGCAGCTCGGGTCAGCATCTCCCCAAAATGGGCTGTGAGGGATGGAGGGAAGGGGCTGTGGCTGGGGCAGTTTTTTCAGTGCCTGGGTGAAGAGCACCAAGGAGATGCCAAGAACCTATGGCAAATCCATGAGGGTGTGCCGCTTTGGCTGTGCAGAAGCACAGGCTGTGGGTGCTTTCGTGGGTGCCAGCTGGAGCAGGCAGAGCCGTGAGCTCTCTTAGCGAAAACCCAAGAGTTACCTGGAGCAGGATGGGTGGTCTCAGCTCCATCTGCGAGGAGGGGTCCTGGGGGATGTGGAGCAGAGGTGTCCCCCCCGCATCGCTCGCCAGGTTTCTCCTCCTCAGGAACTCCCTTTGCCGGGGGCTCTGTGCTGGCTCCTCTGCCCCCCTCCCGAGGTGCCGGCAGGTTGTCACGTTGTTCCGCCGCCGCAGGTTCTCCCGCGTCTCATGCCGCCGCTCGCACTTCTCATCATAGCTCTCGCCAGCACGCCTGTGCCGCGGCCGAGCCTTCCCGGGCCGGCTGATCATGGTGGTGCAGCTCTGTGATCCCCCCCCGGTCCGTGCTGGGCTCCTCTGTCCTGAGGAAACCAAGGGAAAAGGTGTGATTTGGGTGAAAACTGTCGGACACTGATTCTGGAGTCCTCGTGCGATGGACGCCGGTGGTGTTCCTGGAGAAATCTGCTGTCCATGAACTTGTGTGTGTTGCG